GCCCAACACTTGGAGGGTGTCTGACGCTCTATGCTCGCTCAAACGAGGCAACCTAGCACTTGGAGAGGAGCCTGACCACCTTTGATCGCCCAAACGGGGCAGCCCAACGCTGTCTGGCCCTTCAAAGTTGCACAAAACAGCTTCAAAGGCACACAAATCAGAGCATAAAGTGGCACCTTCAGCTCTTGATGCCTAGGCATCCTAGACTGCACCTCTATTTCCTAATGCTTAGGCATCCCAAGCTGCACCTCTATTTTCTGATGCCCAGACATCCCAGACTGCACCTCTAGCTCTTGATGTCCAAGTATCCCAAGCTGCATCTCCAGGCTGCACCTCCATCTCCTGATGCCCAGACATCCCAGGCTGCACCTCCATCTCTTGATGCTTGGGTATCTCAGGCTGCACCGCCATCTCCTAATGCCCAGACATCTCAGGCTGCACCTTCAGCTCCTGATGCTTAGGCTGGCCCCCAAGCAACTCCTGCTGGCGCCCAAGGCAGCCCTAGGCTCGCCCAGAACACTGTCTGCTCGCCTAAAACGCGCGCCTAGTTGCCTGCTCAAAGTTTTGACAGTAAATTTTACTCTGTAACTTCAAACAAAAGCATATTATATATCAAATCGAAGCTCTCGACAAGCCCTACAAGACTTACAGCCTATGACTATGTTTGATGGTATAAAAAGTCCAAAAAATGCCTAAAAATAGATGTTTTGGCCTCCCAAAATTTAAAAAAAAAATCTGCCCAGCTTGCCTAGGACAGTGCCCAGCTCACCCCGAAGCTGCCTGCTCTCCCAAATTGCTCACCTAGCTCTCTACTCGAAGTTTTGATCGTAACTTCTACTCCGTTACTCCAAATGAGGCTTATAATATTTTAAATCAAAGCTCTCAGTGAGCCCTACAAGAGACACGACCTTTGGCTATGACTGATTCTGTAAAAAGTCCAAAAAAGACTTGGAAGCAGATGTTTTGGCCTCCCGAAGTTTTTTCAATTGTGCCGGTTAACCAAAAATTCAAACTTAATCGAATGTCCTTTTTTCCAAGTTTCATTAGACACAGGGCATTGGGGGGCAAATGATGGGCCAAGCCCAAAGCCCAATTCAAGTTTATAGTCCGACTCCAAGAGATCTAGCAAAGCCAGCCCAGTGTGACCAACTCGGTCAAGCTCCTTAGCTCAACCCGTTCATGCTCATTAGTGTGATCAGCCAGGTCAAGCTCTGCAGCTCAACGAGCTAAGGGAGCAAGTAAGGTCATCCAAAGCCCTATCCTCGCTGCCCTGGAGATGGTCAACACCCCACCTCATCCTTTGACCGAATCTCATGGAGAGCACCGCAACTGTCTAGCACGTTGAGAAAAACTCGCCAGATCTAACAAACTAGTCAACTACTTACTAATATCTTGCCCAAATCTGTTAAGAAGGTGACTATAAATTGTAAGTCTCACCAACACTTGGGGGGCAGATCATATTTTACCTGAGCACGACTCTTTCCTCTCCCTCAAAATTTGTACTTTCTGCTCCCTACACCCTTGAATAAATAAAATACCCAGCAACCAGAGCCATTGAAGAGTGGATGTAGGTCGATCTGACCGAACTACTATAAATTGTCTGTGTTTCTCCATCTCTTAATATTATTTTCTTACATTTATTATTCACACTTGACAGGTGGTGTGCAAAACTACTTTGTGCATCATCAAGAGATATGCTAGGATTCATATAGATCCAACAATATCTACAATTGGGATAAAATGATAATAGGCTAGAATGATTATGTTTATCTTGTTTATTTCTCATTCTATAAATAGGGTTAATTCCTATGTATACAATTACTGACAATAATACATCGTTGTAGTCAATTGGGCATTTAGGTCCGTGGATGTAGGCATGCACATTAAATATTATGTCGAACCATATATATCTTTGTATTTGGTTTGCCTTCTCTTTCTTCTCTCTAATCCCGGTTATATTATGAAATTCTTCATGTTGATTATATGATTCTTGGACCCTCATTGTGTTTTACCGATTGTTATATTTTCCCCATAAACATCAAATCTATCTGATTTTTTACTCTCTTTTTCTCTCACGTTAATCCTCACATTTATGTACCACTCTCTAAACACTTAAATAAGCAATGTGTAATTGAGTGAGCACAATATACATCCTTTGGCCCAATTTCCCTTTGTAAATAAAATCAAACAAATCTCTCGTTAATTTTATATTGCAAAACTAAATGCATTTTAGAATTCGAAAGATGCACATTCATTAAACTCACTCAAGAAGTATATATAGAGGCACCAAAGTTTACTTTGAAGATTCTTAGAATGGCCTGGTGTTAGATTCCTTCAACAGTCAATACTGTAATATTTACCATAAATTTAAGAGGGTGGGGGTGGGTTGGTGGGGGGGGGGGGAGGGGGGCGTTGATTTAACAACATTTAAGCAAGTTTGAATATACTGTAGGAATTCAACCTGAAAAATATTGGGAAAGTTAGTATAGAATTTGTATATATCTTCATGTTGAATTGAAAACTCACGTCACCTCAACCAGAAAAGTAGAATAATTTGAATCTTCGATTGTATAACATTAGCATTCAAGGTTGTCAAATGTAGTATGATGTAAAGTGAAGTCTTCATGCATGAATTATAGACAAATTGATAGGTTTGAGTGGAGAACATGATCATGAATAATGCATTTTTCTGAAATAATTGTCAATTTATCATCATATTTTACAATGACCAGCCAGCAAAAATAATATGAACGAATTACACCTTTCAAATGAGAGTTAGAAAAACTGTCTTCATCATCATTGTTCATCAATCAACTACAGCTAAAATAATATGAACGCATTATACGTTTCAAATGAGAGTTAGAAAAACTGTATTCATCATCATCGTTCATCAATCAACTATCATTGAGCTAAAAAAATATTGAAAAACTAATCCGTTTGAATAACTAGACTACTAAAGTTTTAGTAGGGAATATTTTGATATTTTAATAAGTTTTCATTTCGAAAGGTTATTGACGAGGCTATTCTCGCTCCACAAATATTCAGTGCCACCCTATTAAATATTTTATAATCAAACTACTAAGTATATCTCATCTATACCCACCTCATTTTAACTAAGACTATCACATGCTATACACATCTCTTTAATAACAAGTTCATCTTTTATCTTCTCAAAAGTAGAATTTTATTCACTATTTCCTCTTATACGCCCAACACAAAAGAATTTTTTCATATATAAATTTCTCTAGTGAGATACATGTTAATATTACTTTTCGGTTTAATTTTTTGTTGAATCTCACGTGTGCTATGTGGATTTTTTCTTTTGTGTTTTGTTATTTTGTCAAACTTAATTATTTTTGATTTAGAGTTTATATGTATGGGTATACATATGCATGTATTCATACAAATTTGAAACAAGAAGGAAAAACGAAGCATCGCAAATTCTTGTGTTGATTACTTATAATTGTACATATAAATTACTCTCGTAGGGATATTCAACGAATTTCTTTGATCCACATTGTGTCCATTCAAAGGGAAATAAATATTGTTGCCCACACTTTAGTAACACAAGTTGCTGCTTCTCATGTTAATCTAATGGAGGTTGTTTTTACAAAAGTTAGAATAGGCTTAGATATGTACAAATAGAGAAAATGATATACTCATCTTAGTTATCAATACATATTGAAAAAGTTTATTTGGATAGATGTATGAGAGAAGATAGTGAATATAACCCTAGTTATGAGAATATAGAATATGAGTTTGTTATTAAAAAAGTTCATATAGCACCAGATGGATTTAGTTAAAATAGAATAGAAGTGAGTTTAATAATTTAATAATAAAAATTTTAATAGGGTGAGAATAAATATTTGTAAGGTGAAAATAGCGTCACCCCTGTTTTAAATAACTTTCATAAAAGGTATTATGGGAATTCGACATGCATAATTTATAAGTGATTATTTATGTTTTAAATTTTTGCCAAATAACAAAACTGAAATCGTCATCGGTTACTTTTGGGGAACAAAATTAGGTTTGGAAAACAAAAAAAAAAAAAAAGAAAAACAAAGATCAATTTATGCATCATACTAGATTTTTTTTTGAGTCCAACATATTTATGAGAAAATATTAGGTGTAACATTGACATCACGTTATTATTGATAGGTGGTGTCACTATTTAATAAAAAAACACATAATAAATAAACAAGTCAATCCTGCATATTATAGTAACCACCTTGCCATATTCTTTAATAGAGCAATACTATATGAATTTAAAAAGTAAACTTAAAAATTAGACTTGATAATCTCAACTATTGAATAGATAGTGGATCCCAATAAGCGCTGGAACCCGCAGTGAAAATCAATGGTTGAAATTATCGAGTCTAATTTTTAAATCCATGTAATATTACTCTATTTAATAACAACTGGAATTCCCTTGTCCACTTATATGTTTATTATTGATTAGTGACACCATGTATCAATGATGATATAATAAAGAGAAAGATCCACACCTTAAAATTTAACAATAGACTTAATCTAAGTTAAAGACTAAATTCAACATAATTATTGTATCAATAATAGACTCTATCTAAAATTAAAACTCACGATTAATCAAATAATTATATTAAAGGGATATCATCCAGATTAGATGTCAAAGTAGGTATTGCTCTTGAGGCAATCGCTATCCATAGCTACTGGATTTGGAACCACGTTTTTCTTTGCTTTGACCACCGAACAGCCCGTCAGAATGTATGACCAGTAAGAGAAGACCAATCATATCCCCCCTCTCTCTCTCTCTCTCTCTCTCTCTCTCACACACACACACACACAAATATGCCAATAAATTAGCCGCATTCTTTTACCAGTGCACCAAACACTTCAGTTTCTCCTTCCACACTTCATCAATAATCTCCGTCTTCTGCACTTCTACTTTCTCATATGATCTTCACATAAATACACAAAGACACAGATTTAAAAAATTAACTACTTTTCCATCTTAAATATTCATGGACAATATCGAAGTTCCTGAGTACTTCATCTGCCCCATCTCTCTCCAAATCATGAAAGACCCTGTGACTGCAATAACTGGCATCACATACGATCGAGAGTGCATTGAACACTGGTTATTCGAATTCGAAGGCGAAAACATGATATGTCCTGTGACTAAACAGGCCTTGCCTAAAGACTCAGACTTGACGCCGAACCACACTCTCCTGCGACTCATCCAAGCATGGTGCATCACCAATGCATCAATGGGTATTGATCGAATCCCGACTCCGAAACCTCCTCTTAACAAGTTTCATGTCCTCAACCTCGTGAAAGGGCTTTGGGTCCCAAAATTACAGCTGAAAACGCTGAAAAAATTGGAAGTCCTAGCAATGGAGAACGAAAGGAACATGAAATACATGGTTGAAGCTGGTGTAGTTAAGGCAATGGTCACTTTTATCATAGCATGTTACAAGAAAAAAGAAACAACTGGTCTTGAAGAAGCTCTGAGTATTCTCCATCTTCTCCGATCGGTGGAGAAGAAGATTGTTCAAGATGAAAATTGTCAAATTATTGATGCCTTGAAGTGGGTTTTAGAGTGTGATTGGGATAATAAAGTGACCGTGAAGAACCATGCAGTTTTGTTATTGAAGACAATCACCGGAAAAGCTGACTCCGGTGTATTGGAGAGACTGAAAGTGGAATTCTTTGAGAGAATTATACAAGTTCTAAGAGAAGGTATTTCTCAACAAGGAATAAAAGCTGCTTTGCAGGTCTTATTAGACGCTTGTCCATGGGGAAGAAACCGAATAATGATGGTTGAAACTGGGGCAGTTTTCCAACTCATAGAGCTCGAATTGGGTTCTCCGGAAAACAGAACCACCGAGCTCATCTTGGGAGTATTGTTCCATCTCTGTTCATGCGCCGACGGGAGAGCTCAGCTTCTGAGTCATGCCGGTGGTATAGCTGTGATCACGAAGAGAATTCTGAATGTTTCTCCTGCGGCCGATGATCGAGCCATGATGATCATTTCATTGATTTGTAAGTTCTCTGGGACAAGTTGGGTCCTTCAAGAGATGTTGAGAGTTGGAACTATTACAAAGCTTTGTATGGTGCTTCAAGTTGACTGTGCTTCGTATTTGAAAGATAAAGCTAGAGAGATACTTAGAACACATTCTAATGTGTGGAAGAACTCTCCTTGCGTTGATGCTCCAGTCTTAACCAGGTACTCTAGCAGCTAGCTATGATATACTTTTCCATTTTTTGTTTATGACATTGTTTTTTTTTCTTTTTGGGTAAGTTTAATTTTTGCGGGTACACCGAGCAATACTCAACAAAAAGATTGCTTAACATCTATTTTGTAACGATTTTCTCTCACAATCCGATCGAGAGAATATGTTTACGAAATGTTTTTCTCTCTTTGAAATATAAATAAATTTTTATTCGGTATTAGGATATTTAAAATAAATTGAGGGTAACACATACATGGCCGAAGAAATATTTTGGATCCATTTGGACTGGCTGTATTTACTGATACACCAAGAGATATATGTTTTGGCTGGTGGTACATAATGTTCATATTTTGCCTCATCTGAGGGTATTTGATAGTTTTGTTTTGGTTAAGGTTCAAGTGTATACACTACCTGAGGATGAAATAAAAGACTTCTTTATGTGTGTAAGTTGTTCTGTTATTTGTTTAGACTAATGCATATATTGTCCCAGTTCCGTGTGCTGTAGAAGCTTGTACAATTTTGTGGGAATGATCTCCATTTCAACGGAGGTTAACTGTTGGCCTATTAACCTTAGTTTTCATTGTTAGACTTTAAGATTGTAAACTCAAATCTCGTCATTTCTCTTTCTTAAAAAAAAAAATCTCTTTTTCGACAAGTTTTATGTGAAAACTTCATTGGGAAAATTTGGCAAAAAATGTCATTCCGTTACATAGATTACCCATGATGTATATCATTTAGTGAACCTAAGTAAATAGGTGGTAGTGGGTGATTTTATAACTCCTGCCTTTTACAATAGTTAATTTTGTATTTAATGATCATTATGGTTGGAGGTCTTGACCACAATGAGAAATCTAAGTTTGAGAAGATTCATTCTCTACAATTCTATATCTCTTGTTATCTCTATAACCTCTTCGTTTATGACACATTATCCACAAGGAACTCTAATCAATTACGTAGATTGATCCCGACACTGGAAACAGCTATAGATCAAAATTGATCATGAAACTCTATCTTGAAATATACAACATGAGGTAAGTACGTACCATGTACACTGCTGTATACTTTATAAGGTGACCAAATAACCACAGAATTGTTTTATTTGGTTGTCTTGAATCAGTATTGCACATATATTAGTTATTATTCAATTTTGTTATAGTCTTTTTTTTGTCCAACGGTCAGAGGTGATTAGACTAACTTACACGTACATTGATTAATTACATTTGCGGTCTGATCAAAGACAGACTTGGGGATATTCATGAGGATAAATTTATTATGACCCGATCTAAAAAAATTGTCAAGATTCGAATTCAAGATGTCTAGACTTACAGACCGTGCATGTTACCATTTTAACTAGCTAGGGTTAATTTTGTTATAGTTTTTGTGATTATTGGAATAAGACATTGGTGCAGTGGTCTATATTGCGATCCGGCAGATAAGAGTTATAAAGATACATGTTAGACTTATAATCAATTGTGGAGAAGACTCAACATCTCTTACTATTTCTTCTGTTAAAAGTTAAGTATCTATCCATAGTCTTGTATATTTGATATACAGGAATGTGAATTTCTTAGTTTGGCCTGAATTGATATCATCTTATTCAAATTTATAAATGCCAAGAAGTAATAAGGGTCTCCTTAGGTATCAATAGATTATGGTAGGATATATCCAAGAACATCTGCCCTATCATAGAAAAGTATGCAGGAATTCTTGGGGACTCCCTCAGTTGGTAGAGCTGTTGCAATTGGGTCATTGCGATTACGGGTTGGATATCTAATTGTCTAGGTGGTAATAAAAGTATTGATACACCAGAACTGTATATAAAATTTTTGAAGCTTGACCAGAATCAAGTTTTCATTGGTTTTTTTGTGTGTGATCCGGGATGACATCATAGTCCAGTTCTATATTTGGTTACAATGGTAGTTCTGGATTTCAACTAAAGGGCTATTTGTTTTTTATACAATATAATTGTGGGTGAAAATTGGATTGGTAATTGTATAATTTAATTGGTCTCCATATTATTAGATGCTTATTCTTTTTGGGGAGGTAAATGGCGTTTTATTAATATTAAACAAACTTTACAAGTAATAACATGAGCTATTTGCAGCCTTATGCAGGTTTGTTGAGAACCAAAAAAACATAACAAAAAATATCTAATACTAATAGTTCGAATTCTAAGGAAGTATAGGCCTTAGGCTAGTACTTCCCAAAGAATCCTATCTCACTAGAATTAGGTAATATAGGAATGATGCAACTTATATCTCTCATGACATAGAAGTTTAGCATAGAGTAGACCAAAGCAAACATAGCAGTGTAGTCCCCAAACTTGCACTAGCTGATCGTTTAGGGCATTGTTTTCAAACCTCCTGGAAGATAACTTATCCCTCTGTCTGTTTAATGTTTCTGTGGACAGTGTTGGGATCCAAGAATTGATTGGTGAAGATCCTGCTGTTTCTTTCACACTAAATAATATAAACGGTGGTGGGACATATTTGTTTATAAAAGAAAGCCCTATTTTTGTTAGCTGTAAGCGCACAGTAGCCCATCTCATGAATACATGATATGGAAAGAACCAGCCAGATTATCTCGTCTGCCCATGGATTTAGCAGCAATTCAAAATGTTGATCTATTTGGGAATCTCTAAATCTATGCTTATTTTCAACTCTCCGAGAGCATTTTGTCATAGTGACGGTCAGACTAGGTTTCAGAACCACAAGAAGCATGGATTTTATTTTCCAGGTTTTTGAAACCAATTAATGAATTCAGTCCATGTCCTAAGATTCCATCTGCAAAATATTCTCCTACAACCTAATAGTATTCCTGCAGTTAAAGAATAGGTGTTCATGTGACTCTTGCAACCTCTCTACATAGTACACAAGCAGTACTAATCTGGCTAACAAAATTTTGTATTCTATCTCTGGGATACAATTTTTTGTTTTATAGTTGGCCATAAAACAAAACTCATTTTTGGAATTTCTGGAATCGATATCCCTCTCTTTTTTTTTTGGTACATTGGAAAAGAGAAACAATAGCCCTTACGGCTCTCTAACAAAAACAACACCACCAAGATCAGCCAGCAGGGTAGAAGCTAACTCAGTGATGGGTTCCATGAGAACAACAAATCTGCCTTGTTGCAGCACCCCCAGGTTAACTAGGCTATCAGCGCAGCTATTTCCCTCCTGCATAACATGCCGCATTTGAGGGCGGCCTTGACACAACGTTAAAATTGCTTCATTATGACTTGGAAGTCGTAGGTTTGAGTAACAAAAATAATCTTTTAGTATACAAGAATAAAATTGCCTACATTTAATTCTCTCTACATCCCACAGTGGTTGGAGCCTCATCCACCGGGTACAGCCAAGAACATGTCGTATTTGGCGGTTGAACAACGTTAAGAATTCTTTGCATTTACAGATCAAAGCTCTACTTGGGTGTCCTTCCTCACTAGAATGGGTGATGAGCTTAAATGCCTCCATTGAGTCCGTCTCCACGACGATGTGCTTAATGGTCTATTTGGTATGATAAAAAAAAATAGAAGGATGAAAAATTAAAAAAATAGAAAGTTAGAGAGATAAATAAAACATCATATTTGGTAAGGAAGGAAAATAGGAAGGATAAAAAAGTAAATAAAATAACTTTCCTTCCAACTCACCAAAATCAATTTCAAAATCAGAAGAAAAGTGGATGAAAAATTACTTATTTTTGTTGAAATGTATCTTATTTGACTATATATCTTTTGGTATATACAAATATTATGTATACATTAATTTCATATGAAAATACAATGATAAAATATGTAGTTATATATATATTTTTTAAAAAAATTTAAAAATAAAAAATAAAACATAAAAACATAAAAATAAAAAAAAAATTTTAAATTAAAAAAAAATTTTTTTTCATCTTAACTAGAGGTGAAAATTTTCGACTCAACACAATGACATGACTCAAACTCGATACGAATTTTCTGACATGAACTTGATTACAAGTTGACACGAACTTGAAAATGACCTGACATCTAAACAATAAATATAATAGACTTATAAGTTTATGACTTAATACAAATCTGACACAACACGATTCGATTGTTACCTCTAATCTTAGTCAGTACAAAAAAAAATAAAAAATAAAAAATTAGTCATTTTTATTTTTCATCCATCCAACCAAATATAAAAGAAGGAAAGCGTATCATTCATATTTTTCATTCTTAAAAGATAAAAATTGTATCCCCAGTATCTTTCTTCATTCCTATCCAGCGGAGCACAAGTCTCTAGTCTCTGATTAGCTCTTGGCCGCTGATAATAGCTCATAATTCAGCTCGGAAACTGGGCATTTGAATCAGCTTCCTATAATCTATGACAATGATATGGCATAATTATTTTTTTTATTGGTGTACGTGGTGGTGTAACCGTTAGATTGAATATTTACTCAAAGCAAGCTTTGCGGAATCCTCTTTGTTACGCACCATCCTTTTATGACAAAAAAAATAATAATAATAATGTAAAAATTAAATGGAGCCACAATCTAAGGCCCAAAAAAGACATTTTGTTTTGTACTCGGCCTATGACAGATAAACGTAATCTGCTAAAAAACTGGTCCAGAAGAGTTGTGGTTTGAAGCCCGGCCCAACCTCAACAATAGTTGTCATGCTGAGATTATATTTTGCCATCTCTCAAGGTCCAACTCTCTACAAAATTACAAATAAAAAAATAAAAATAGTGGCCCATAGGATTGCGCCTAGGCCGATATCATATGTTTTTTCTTACTACACAATTAAAAAAATATAATCATGTGGACGGGCCCACATAAATCTTATTTGGTATTTGAAGTTTCAATTACAACAATTAAATTCTTAAAGTTTTTATTGCATTTAATTTGAAGAAAAAAAAAATATCAAAATCGAAAAAAAAATGCAGGGTGAGAATTTGAGAGATGCTATACGACGTAGAGACAAATACCAATGTATATGAGAGAGATTTTTTTTATTGAACAAACATACTTTAATAAGCCAGTGT